ACATCTAATTTTTTTACTACAATAAAAAGCTCTCACATAAAATCACATCACAATTTGAATTAAAAACTCGAATCAGCGAACAAAACGGGTCCCTGTTATAATGAAGAGTAGTATTATCAAATTTCATTACTAAAAAATTCAGTCATACATTTAAATAATGAACTATATAGTAATTCATTAAAAGTATATAAGTAAATTTGACATTTATTATCTTTAATAATAATTAGGAAAGTGAATCACTCATCACTTTACATTTTCCCTTGATGCAAAGTAAAAACACCCTTAGAAGTAGATTAACTTGTCTACACTAAATGAAGGCGGGAAAAAAATATTAAAAGTGAGGTTAATGTGGGATAAAATTGCATTTTTTTTCTTTACTACAGTGATTGAGTCAATGATTTATCAAAGTAAATCAATAATTTACTCAGTGAGTCAATGATTTATTTTTTACCTAAACTGCACAAAAATACACCTATATGATTTTTTTATGTTTATAATATTTTTCTTTATACGTTATTTTCTATTGCCCATAGTCATATAAAAGGTTCCAAATTACTAAAATGCGCCATACCACACTCATATCAAAACTTAATACTCTACTTTTTATCAGTTAAGTGTCCCCGTTCATTTCACTAATTCGAGTTTAGAATTTGAATTTTACTATAGTAAAAAGCTCTCAGAAACAGTTATATCTAACTTTTTTGTTACAATAAAAAACTCTTATATAAAATCACATCTAAACTTGAATCAGTGAACTAAACGGGCCCGAAATAAAACCTTAGCATCCTCCCATTCTATCCCCTCTCCCATTCCCATCAGTGAAATATTGAAAATATTTTTTAGTCTTAAGCCTCAACCAACCAAACCAAACTGTGCAAATCGCTTTTGAATTATTTTGTTTAGTTTGACTTTTGTCAAAATTATCAAACCACCTAAAAGAGATTTTATTTTCAATTTTACCTATAGTTTTTAAAAGAAAAAAGGGCTCAAACCGTCCATGAACATCATAAAAGGATTATGGGTATCGAATAGTAAGTTTAAATTAGGTTAAATCATGCCTGAGTTGAAGCCATGCCAGTTTGTCTATAAAATGTAAAGTTAATTACAAATATGTCTATTATGCAAGAGATAAAAAAGAGAACGCCAACAAATTATGATATTAGCACATAACCCTATAAAACAACCTGTAATGACATCCCTATCTTTTTGTTAATCACCCTTAAAAAGTCTAAGTATACAGATTCATAACCACGCACATAAAATAGGGTATATATGGAATGATACTATCTCAATAACCATGAAATAGATTAATGACCCGTTTAGTTCGTTGATTCGAGTTTAGATGTGACTTTATGTGAGAATTTTTTACTGTAGCACAAAAACTAAATATGATTGTTTATGGGAGCTTTTTACTGTAGCAAAACTGAAATTTTAAATTCGAATCGGTGAAATGAATGAGACCTAAAGAAAGTATAAAGATTGAAATAAAGACGAGGAAGAAGAGGGTGAGGAGAATGGACATGAAATTGAATATCTGTTTTGGTCTCTAGAGCTGCATAGAAAGTTTGTTGCCGTTGTGCATCAATTAGGCGTTGACAGTAAGTCATTTTTATGCAATGATGGAGGGAGAGAGAGCGGGGTAGTTTTTATTTTATTTATTTATTTTATTTTAGTATAGTGATTTTAATTTTAATATAGTATGTATGTGTATAAATTAGACTTAATCCCTTTTAAATTAATAGTTTTTTATATTTGATTAGGCAAACTATTTACATATATATACATGTTAGTATAATCTTGATAAAAAAAATGTAGCTCCCCTCTACTAATAAATCCTGACTCTGTTACTGTTTTTATGTTACCTTGCCTGATGTTAAAGGCACATCCTAAACAGAGAGTTTAGCAATTATTGTGTAATTAATTCTAAACCTCTAGTATTTGATAAGACCTAACAAAATTTTATGGCGTTACACTTTACCTACATTATATATTTATTCATTGATCGTGCTTTCGACACGTACTTTTTTCATACGAATCTATTCATGTGTCCTCTTATTTTTGTCTCTTTTTACATCACTCTAATAATATTATGATATGTCAATTAAAATTTATTTTCATATTAATTAAAACGTTATTAATTTTAATTAACGCGACATTATTAAAAAGGAAGAGGACATTTGAGCTCAATCTATATCGAATAGCCATTCTTTTCTTTGAAATTATTATTCAATGGCAAATTTGCAATAGAAAGAAGAAAAATAAGCATTAGATTTTAAAAACATTAAATTTTAACGAAGTAAGATACATTATTTAAAAATACTCCCGCATTGAAATATTCTCATTTTATCTGGAAGTCTTGGTAATAATAAATACGAATTTAATGTTGTAATCCACAAATCAAGTGGACGGCTGAATAAGTAATAATGGCAAGTCAACGTGTTTGGACACGGAAGCAAAGCATAGTCCGCATTGGTATTGTCGGCAATTTCTCCTTAAAAACTATTGTGTGTATTTTTAGTCGGTTTGGTTGGTTTCAGAATACAAAATCGATAACCAAACCAATTAAAACCGATAAAAGCCCGTTTATTTTATACATTTAAATTTATGATTTTAATTTTATTATAATATTTTTCTTTATAAAAAACTTAAAATTTAAATATCATAATAAAAAATTATTAATTTAAATGCATAAATTAAAGGAGTCTTAAATAATTAAAAAATGAGTTTATTCGGGATTTTGATTGTTTAGTTTTCATAGTTTGTCACATTTTTTAAACACCCAAATGTTATGTGATTAGTACAAGAGTAGAAAATGAGATCACCACTGTTGTTAAGCATTAGCATAATTAATAGACAGTGAAACTCATATGATGGATAGGCTCGTCTTCTATTAGATCATTTCTAAAAGAATTCTTTAAATTTCAATTAAATGTTAGTTAAAATAACTAAAAAATTAGTTTAGATATTGATTTTTAGATAAGTCACTCTAATTATACTCTCTATTTTAACTAAACATAAATATTTATTAAATTTAAAATATAAATAACTTTATTGATTTTAAAAAATAATAAAATGACTAGCATCATCTTATTAGTTATATTTAATCTTTTTTCAAAATATCTAACTATTTAATTAATGGTTAGAGTGAAAAAAAAAATATATATTAATTATTTTAACTAAAAACGTGACAGTAGTGCTCATTGCTCAACACCAACGAAGTTCCTTACCATTGATCAAATCTAAATGAAAACCTGCTAGGGCCAAAACATCCCCGTTGCTCACACGGGCAGGTGAATAATGGGATCGTGGCCTTAGTAGGGAATAGGCGAATAGTCTTTCTATCTTTTTGAGTTGCATGTTCGGTCAGTGGCGGAGCCATTTGAAAATGAGCGGATATAATTACTCACTCAAATTTATTTTTATAAATTTTAAAATTTTATATTTAAGTTTCTACTAAAATAATATATGTCCTTATTAAAATAAATATATTTTTTTATTTTTATTAAGATAATTTATTAAAAAAAATTTAATGAAAAACTAACTCTATCATTGTATCCAATATAATGTTTTTTGTAAATTAAATCAAAATGGATTGGTCTTCGCTACTATGTTCAATACATAAAGAGTGAGTTCTATAGTGTGACCTATAAGTAGAATTCACAATAGGTCTCATTTATTTTGTAAATTTAAGTTTTTAATTTAAGTTGAAATGTGATATTTTTTAAGAATTTTTTATTATAATAAAAAATATTAAATGTAATATTTTTTAAAATTTTTTTATTATAAAAATTAAAAATTAAAAATTTGAATCAATAGTAAAGTATTTTTCATTTTTTGTCGTTAACGAACTGTTCTCTCCGAATCCACCGCCCTGTCCGTGTACGTGTCCGTGTGTTTGCCCGCTTCAAGAAAACCTGTCAGACACGAGTTATTGGCCACATTATTTATTTATTTATTTTTATAGTTAGAGCCGTTTCAAATTAGTCAAAATTACTTTCCACATCATCATCATCCTCATAAATAACACATCCGAATCTCCAGCCAAAAAGGCCAACTCAGATTTTTCATTTCCTTTGCAATCAAATTTTCCATCCCAACCCACACCGGGTTTTCTTGGCATTTGTGTTCCTATTACAGATCTTTACATACGAGCCGTCCAAAAAATAAACACCAGATTATTTCTGATTGATTTTCCGATACTATTTTTTTCTTTTTCCGGAATTTTTGATTGATTCTTCCTTTCCTCATTTCGTTGAGTCCCTATCTTTCTTGTGGGTTCCACTTGGTTTTGATTTTGCTTATTGCCCGAAAGAGTATAATAAATAACTTATTAACAAAAACAAAAAAATAGAGAGAGAGAGAGTATAAACAAATAAATTCAAAGATTTTGGATCGTCATATTCACCGTCATCGTCTGAATAAATTCTCCTCTTTTGCCTTCTGTTTCCCATTCTGCAACTTTTTCTTCTTCTTCTTCGTAACAACTGATTTGCTTTGGCTTTAGTGCTTCTTCTCTTCGGTGAGTTATATTTTCCATTTTTCTGTTTCATTAATCTTAATGGGTTTCTCTAGTTTCTTTTATTTCTTCCTGTTCCTTTGGATTTTTTCATGTTTTCCTCATCTGGGTTCGTCCAGTTTTTTGTTATTATGATTAGTTTTCCCAAGTTTCATTCACACGTTTCTGTTCTTGACAAATCAAATAATGGGTGTGAAATGATTTTCCTCGGAAGATCTCTGAGAAATTAATTCAACCTTTTTGTTCAGTGAAATCTCGTTTTTGTCTATTTGACAAATTAAAATATTGGGTGTGAAATGATTTTTCCTTGAAGATTTCTTGAAAGTAGATTCAAGATTCTTTATTTTGCTTGTTTTATTTTGTTTGTTGTTTAGTGAATTCTTGTTTTACTCTGAATTTCTATGTTATATCTACAGGTGAATCTTTCATTCACAAATAGTTCTTGTTATTGGCAATAATAAAAAGGAAATGGCTATAAAGACAAACGGGTTCGTTAAAGGGCGTCTTCCAGAGGAATTGAAGAAGTTGATTAAATCTGTGGCTTCTGAGTATGGAGATGTGATTGATCTAGAACATTTGGAGATTGTCCCTTTGAAGGGAGCTATGACTAATGAGGTTTACCAGATCACTTGGCCAACAAAGGACGACGATTTCCCGCGAAAAGTATTGGTTCGTGTTTATGGTGAAGGGGTTGAGGTTTTCTTCAACAGGGAAGATGAAATCCGCACGTTTGAGACAATCTCCAAACACGGTCAGGGACCGCGGCTTCTCGGCCGGTTCGGAGCTGGAAGGATTGAGGAGTTCATTCATGCCAGGGTATGTGAAAAAAATGCAATGCTTATTATGTTCATTTTACTTGAAATTATCTCCTTTAGCGTGCACATCATTGATATCTTTAGTCTTTTACATTACTTTCAATATACTTTTAGTGAATTATATGAAAACAGCGTGATGTTCATTTTACTTGAAATTATCTCCTTTAGTGTGCACATCATTGATATCTTTAGTCTTTTACATTACTTTCAATATGCTTTTAGTTAATTATATGAAAACAGCATGATGTTCATTTTTCTTGAAATTGACGAGCCATGAATGAAATATCTCCCTTAGTATATACACCATTGACGACCTTAGCTTTTACATTAATTTTTATGCTTCTTTTACTTTTTCTGTTTGTTCTTTATTTTCCAAGATTTAGAGAGCCATCAAGTTTCTCCTTTATCATGATGGTATTGGTATTTTTACATTATTTATGTTATACTTCTGCTTCCTTTTTTTTTATTTTATTTTATTTTATTTTTATAAATAAAGCTATTTCTTCCTGCTCTTTCTCATGATTGTTCTTTTGGTGGTTTATCTTTTATGTGAATATATTAAGCTATTGCTCTTAAAAAGTAGTGATAATAATAAGTCTCTAAGCACTTTAGAACACCATATTGAGTGGTCCAGAATGCGCAAACAGGGACAAGCCCTAGGTTATAGAATCTTGACTATATTCTTGAGGTTTGAGGTCATCATGTAAGTTTCTTTTCTATGAAAGGGAAATATCCTAGTTTTGAAAGTTTCTAATACACAGATTTCTATGGCAAAACAAGTTGTATAGAAGCTTGTGATTAATAGAAAGATTCTCCTTAGCTTTATATTAAAGGTGTAAAAATGATTAAATAAGCTTCATTGGCTCACTTGGTACTTGAAAACAAGAAATGGCTTTCCTTTTTTCTTGCAGTGGACTTTCTTTATGCAAGCAGATAAAATCAAAGCATATCTGCAAGCCACCTTCTGTATATTCATATATTCACATGTCACTAGATAGTAATGATAATACTTTTAATATGAAAATATCTTTGGTTAATCAGAATGGTGAAAGTTTCACTATGATTGTGGAGAATTAAGATTTTCAGTTTGATGGGAGACGTAAAAAATTGCAACATGGTAAATATTGCAAGAGGTTACTGGTTTAGTTATCATCTGTGAAAATGACATATTTCTAAAAACTTGAATTTTGGATCCCCTTTTTGTTTCAAAAGTTTTCCTTTTGGATTTTTCAGACACTTTCAGCTGCCGACCTTTGTGATCCTGAAATATCTGCTCTTATAGCAGCTAAGTTGAGAGAGTTTCACACTCTTGACATGCCTTTCTCAAAGAATGCGCACCTCTGGAACACATTGAGGTAACTTTCATACTTATTAATGAGTGCTTTTCCTTCAGAAAAATGAAGATGTTTAATGCCTTTCATTTCGGCTTCCAGGAAATGGCTTGCTGTATCCAAGACTTTATGCTCACCGAAAGACGCTAAAGAATTTAGCTTGGATACTCTAGAGGGGGGGGAAATTAATATGCTAGAGAAAGAGCTACCGCACGAATCTCAAGAAATTGGATTTTGTCACAATGACCTGCAGTACGGTAACATAATGATGGATGAAGAAACAAGATCAATCACTATTATTGTAAGTCTCAGCACCCAATTAAATGCTACAGCATATTAATTTTGAAAACTACTGTTTTATACAGACATGAGCACAAACAAGATCAATCCTTACAAACGGGGTGCTCGCACCAGCGGAGGGGAAGTATTTGCAATGCATGTTGTAAACTTATTTATTGCAATGAGCTCATCCTAATTCGTAATGCTTTTCTTTCCTTTCTTGCTGTTTCCAGGATTATGAATATGCCTGTTACAATCCTGTTGCTTATGACATTGCAAATCATTTCTGTGAAATGGTAGCAGATTACCATTCAGAGACACCTCATGTTCTGGACTATAGCAAATATCCAGGTAAATATCTTTCGGTATTATAATTTTTTTGGTTATATTTCCGCTTATTAAAGCGCAAGTGTTGCGAATTTATAACGAGTATTTTGTTTTCTTAAATTCATTGGCATAGACCTGGAGGAGCGCCAGAGATTTGTCAGGATATATCTTAGCTCTGCAGGTTGGCCAACTAATTTCTTGACTCTCTTAATTCTATAATTGAATGGGCGCACTTAGATTAGTTCTTAAAGAGTTGATTACTATTTGATACTATAAAGGAAAGGATCAGCTTTTTCTAGTAGTAGTTAAGAAGAGATTTTCATGCTTGACCATCATCCAAAAAAGAAATTAATCAAATTAATTAAAGGAGAAGGTCAATTCTATATGCATTATTGCTTAGGGGAATCAAACTTTGACTTTGAGCAATTTAAAAACATTGAGAAACTGTGCAGTTCCCTACTTTTATTGGTGTGTTGACATTTTGGTGCCAACCATAGCCACTAATCTCAATGAAAATGACTTGTTTTAAATTTTCCCTATATGCCAAACTTTTAGGCAAATTTTGGAGATTTTTGCCTCCTAGAAAATGGCTAAATAACCGTAGGGAAGAGCGATCAACCTACGTTTTTGAATCGTTTATTCGTGTTATAAGTTAAGCATGATTTCGGAATATCTCTATCCTTTCCTATGTAGGCAAAGAACCCAGTGATGCTGAAGTGGAGCAGCTACTTCATGATGTGGAGAAGTACACTTTGGCAAACCATCTGTTCTGGGGCTTGTGGGGACTCATTTCAGTAAGCAATTTGTACCACTTACAACATTTGTTTGTAATTGCCAAAAAAAAAAAAAAAAAGAAAAGAAAAAAACTTCTGGTGTTTGTGAGAAACAGGAGAAATATAGAGCTTTCTTTCTTTTTTTGATATGGGATTTTATTGACTGGTGATTTGCAGGGATATGTGAACAAAATTGACTTTGACTACTTGGAATATGCAAGGCAGAGGTTTGAGCAGTACAAGTTGAGAAAGCAAGAATTGTTGGGCCATTCAGCAGAGCAGGAAGAGGTTTCCCCTTGATATAGAGATGATAGAGATAAATACTAGCTAGTTAAAAGGATTTGCAAGTTATTTTGATAAATTTCACGTAAACTTTAGCCATTTCAATGGTGGTAAATAGCATAGTATTTGGATTTACGAGGCTTGTAAATAAAACCCATTTGTTTTTTTTTGGGTGTTGACTGTAAATTTCATTTGGTTAAGATGTTGGTAGTAGTGATTTAACATGATCCAGTAAAAGTTGTCTACTCTTGAAATCTGATATCACGTTGATTCGGAAAAAGGGACATCCGTATGTTGGGTGGTCGGTGTCCAATGGAGTTTAGAGATAATTCGAATTTTCTTGTAAGAAAATAAATATGTAATCCAAATTATGCAATACAACCTTTGATTGACATTCAAACAAAAGTAAGTCTTTGATAAAACGTAGAAAGAGCGCAATAGAACAAAAGGGGTCCACCCAACTTGGTCAATTCACGCTACTAGGGTAAATTTATCAATTCAAAGGTCAAAATAAGCTATTGGCATATGAACAGTAGAAATTTGATATAGATTTGAAATTCAGAAGTATAGGACTGTTCAGTAACGTTTTCAAAATAATTTTATTTTCAATATAAAAGTAAAAAAGAGATTGTTTTAAAAATTTTCTGAGACTAATTTTAAAATTGCGTTTGGTTGATTTTTTAAGATATTATTTTGCGTATAATAAAAAAGTGAAATCGTATTTGACTATAATTATTAATTAATATATTATAATATTGTTGATAAGTACTAGGAAATGAAAATAGAAAAGGGAAAACAACATGTCTAGCCGTTTTCTAATTTTTTTTTACAAAAATCATTCTCATTGTTTTTTATTTTCATTTTCATTTTCAAAATATTTACTAAACAAACACGATTTACAAACCGTTTTTATTTTTATGCCTCAAAAGGCGTGCAAAAATGCTTTCAAAAATAAGCAAAAATTAATTCAAAACGCATTCTTGGAAACATCTAAAATATGAGGTCACTTCTAGTATATACTCAAACGGCAGTTGTGTATTCTTTAAAATTTCATTAGCACTTGATTTCAGCCAAACCAACTAAAATATATTTGTCTCTTTTCTCGTCTCCATAGTCTTTGTTATTTTTCAATCAAGTTCTACTTCAAAGGATTTGGTTAAGCTTGAGGCTGTTCAACCATCAACAGTAGATAGAAAATTTGGATCGGTTAGGTTCCTTGCATCGATAATTATTTTCGATTGAATACCAAAAATTAATTTAATCCAAGTGGTCCAAGAAAGTTCAGTTTTAAACCAAATATCTAACTTGAATAGAATCGGCTGAGAACGCATATTTGAGGAGTTGCGTGCAGAATAAGAGAGATTAAATAGTATACTTTTCGAACTTTTAGCACCAAGCACCAGTGGTCTAGTGGTAGAATAGTACCCTGCCACGGTACAGACCCGGGTTCGATTCCCGGCTGGTGCATTTGTTTTTTTTGTAAAACTATATAGTTTTTGGCCCCTCACTCTGCAACCGAAAAAACTCCACCTCTCTCTCTCTCTCTCCCAGAAGTTGGACCATAAAATAAAAGAAACACATGTAAAAGTACATGTTTTGTAGTACAGATTGCAACAAGAAGTAGTAATAAGTAAAACCATTATTACATATAAGAAAATCCCACTTCTTAACATTCTTCTCACTTCCCTCACCAACTAAGCCAATAGGTATCTTATCCAAGACATTTGGATGGTAAAATTGAGTCTAATCTTAGACATCAAAAAGTGTCCTCTAAAAAAAATTTCTTGAACTCTTATGAAGAGATGGCAGACAAGGAACGTAGATTATCGACTATGGAGTCGATTAAAGCATGTGAGCCACTGGTGCCTGCAAGCATGAGATGTTTCGGAACCTCAGCTCTATCGAAATAGAACGCGCCTGAAACCAATTTTTCTTTAGGCTGTAGAGCCAACCAAATCACTGTGTCCGCACCTTGCTCCATCGATCTAAGCTTCCCTGAAAGACTGCAACATATTTCAAAAGTCTTTAACATATGTATGCACAGTAAGAGAGGTACTTAATATGTGATAATGAAAGTTATAAGTTACTTACGATTTAGAGAAATCGGGTAAACTTCTATTAACCCCCGGTGTCTCCGCCCAACCTGGGTGCATTGCGTAGAATCCAATCCCTTTGTTTTTGTACATTTCAGCCCATTTCTCTGTTAGTGCCACCTAAAGGAAAGAAAAAAAAAAAAGAGTGACATTTGACTTGATTAACACGTATCAAGGACAAACAAACAACAGAAGAATATGAACCCAGAATTCTATGTTTGAATTGCCACAAACCTGAACACGCTTGTTTCGAGCATACTGCTCCAACCCATTAAAGTTTCCATCACTAAACTGAACACATGTATTAGCAAATTTCATTAGTATCGTGATCAAACCGGTAAACAAGAACTTTGAATGAGCCGTTCCGTTACCTGCAGATCTTTGGTCAAAGGTGCGGTGTACATTCCACCGGAAGAAACTGTAACAACCCGAGCATCAGGTGCTGCTTTCTCCAGCAACGGCAGCAATGACTCTGTCATGGAATAAGTACCCAATACATTTACAGCAAAGTTGAACTCAAACCTGAAAATTTAACAATTAGCTTTTTTTTTTTTGCCAAAAAGGGAAGATTCATGATTACTAGAAAAATAAAGCATCAACCTTTTCTTTTCTTTCTAATTTATGCAAGAGAAGAGAAAAACAAGAATGAGTTAATTAAGTTTAATCATGAGGCGGAGTTGATCAAAGACGCACCCTTCTGAGGTTGTAACTCGGTTAGACTCGAGCAGGCCGGCATTATTAACCTGACAACATCCAGATTATATTTCTTAAAATTATGAGGGCAGAAACAGCATTGGCAGTTAAAAAAACATCAGAAAGACCTAAGGAGAGTTTAAAGGTGCACAAACAAAGTGAAATAAGAGATTTTAACACAAATAGGTTTTCATTCTAACTTGACATCCAACAATTTAGCATCAAACGTAATTAGACGATCTGCCGTCAAACATTGTGCCTGAGTAAGGAAACTAGAATTGGTTTCTAGGAGAGTAGCTACCAAAACATGAAGTGGCTCATCCTTGGAAGAAAATCTGGATGCCAACGCCTTTATATCGGCAACAGATGAAAGATCACAGACCTGCAAGCTGAAACGAATAAGCTAACTAAAGATCAAAACACAAAGCTCGTAACAAATTCACCGACTTAGTTATCACTGAAAAATTAGATGAAATATAACAACTTCCATGAAATCTATGAAAATCATTTAATGAAACTAAGGAATAAAAGTACCTCCAAATGAACATTTTGGTTGCCTGTTGCAGACTGAATTTTAGACAGTGCAGCTTCTCCCCTCTCCTTGTTTCGGCAAACCATATAGACAGTTGCCCCACTAATCAAAGATTAAAGAAAGACCAAAAAATTGGTTTTTTTTTTTAATTTATGTGTGTTATAAATGAGCTAAATGAAACTGATTAAGAATTAAGTAGCAGATAAAAGAAAGAAAAGAACCGTGAAGCGAGGCCTTGGGCTGTGGCATAGCCAATGCCAGAATTTGCTCCTGTTACTATGCAATTTTTCCCATCTATTCTTGCTTGCATATCCTCTGCGTTGAATTTCTTTGAATGTTCACTAGAAGGAGTCACGTTTTGAATCAAATTAGTTCGGAATGGATTACCGAAAACGAAAAGGAATATGAAAAGAGAAGAGATTAAGGCTATGAACATAACAGGACTATGCAATTTTCCTCTCTCTGAATGAGCACTGCAAAAATAACTCACAACCAAACACAAGCAGGAACAAGCGTGTTCCTCTAGGTGTTTGTTTGGGGTGAATCTAATCAAAACTAATGTGTTTCCTTTTTACCACTCATGCATATGCCGCGCGGGACGCAATCCCTTCCCGACAGTGGCGGAGCAACATTGTTGTGAGTGGCGGCACACTTTGAAATTTTGATTTCAGCACTGTGCTCCCATTTTATAAAAAATAAAAAAAAATATAACTGTATCGCCAGTGAATAATTGAACTAAAATTGTTGTTCCCCATTTTATAAGAAAAGTTATAATTGTGCCCCCGTTGAATAATTATAATATTTAATTATAGGTCTGTTTGGTTCACGCATTTAAGTCAATAATTCTGATATATTGGTAGGAACTTTGTGCTTGAAAATTTTTAAATTCAAACTCTTTGTGAGATGAAAATATTATAGTAGAATTAAAATCATTCAAGTATATGTGCTAAACGGATCCTATGTCTCCGTCTAATAAAATACTATATCTAGTTGTTTTCATAGTGCCCTCGCGACAAGAAAAATTATAACTCTCCCACTACTTCCAATTCCCGTGATTATCTCAGTATGCTACCATCTACCACTATGACCTTTAGGGTGTGTTTGGGATGAATTGATGGAAGGATGGATATGATATGAGGGAAGTGGAGTAGAAAAAAAGTATTGAAAAGAAAGAAAGAGAGAATGATTGATTTAATTTGTAAAATTACTACATTGTCCATATAAAATAAATTGGTTTTCTTTCTTCGGATGTGTATTGATAAATAATTAATAATGTTATACTCATTTTCTTCAAATAAAATTTTTAATATTCAAGTTGTACACATAAATAATTAAATTTTTTTAAAAAACATTTACCTATAAGAACATTTTTTTTTTGGGTGAAAAATAAGACTACTATATTAACACACAAATAAAGGATTTTTCAGTATACTTGGTATTTTTTATATAAATTAATAGACATTTATGTATTCCATCAGAGTAGAGTAGAGAAGCAATGTTAAATTGAAAAAAAAAAAAAAAAAAAAAAAGAGAGAAATTTGAAAGGAAGAGAAATAATTAATTTAAAGAAACAGAACAAGGGGTAGAATTGTAATTAATGGCCCTATATGCTAACCTTCATCCACTTTCCTTCCAATTATGAGGGGATTGATTTTTTCCGTCCAATTAGATGAATTGTTTTTTGCTCCGCATAAAATTCTCTTCTCATCTATAGTATGAAATTGTTTAAACTAATCCAAACATAATTCCGATTGAATAAAAAACCAAATCTAAAAAGAGAATAGTAAATTGGGCATTACATGAAGCCAGACTTGGTAAAATTGAGGTACCCATAAATGCCAAAGGCGCTTGATCTCCATGCCTGTTAAAAGGAAAACAAATTTGAGGAAAACAAAAATCAGAAAAGGAGAAGAACAAAATTTGAAAAAAATTAGATTAAAATAGAAAATAAGCAAAAACAAAAAAGATTACTTTGAGAAGAAACATTGCGATGGCTCCTATAGAGATGCGAAGATGAAGTTTGAGAGTGAAGTCTGACATGGATTCTGGAACTGCATAAGTTTTTGAGTTTGAAGGAACTGCTAACGTGAGCAATTGCGTTGCGTATTCGATGGCTGTCGTTGAGCCACGTAGCATAATACAACGTCACTTTTTTGTGGGCTTCTTGGATTTGACAACGTGACTGCAACAAATACATCTGTTCGTATCCAATCACAAAAGTACATATGTTTGTTTTTAAGGTCCGTACATTTTACTAATTGTAATCGGAACACAGCTGAGTTTAGAAGAGAAATTCGTGTGTTGTGATTTGTTACAGTATTTTTTTTTATAAAATATATACGTAGAACAAAAATAATTATAAATTATAGTTCTAAATCTATGAACCAAACGTCTTGTTATAATATTTTTTTTTGTTAATTAGAATCACAATTTAAATTTTTATTATAATTTTTAAATTCAATTTTTTTTTACATAAATTTGTTTTTTAATTTAAATTAGGAATATGAATGAGACTTTAAAAACTAAATTCGTTTAGAATTAACACGAAACTCCAAGGTAAAAACGTGTATTGAGTACCGTCCACAGAAAATCAAACATGCATGTCAAGGATGCATGCGGTTCTTTCAACAATACATTGACGTGAACTTCTAAGAAGACGTTTGGTTGGAGAATTCAAATAATGTGATTCGAATAATTTTTGATTTACGTGTATTTTTTGTGAGAGAAAATACTGTAGCGAACCGCGAATCATGATTCGAATCAAGAAACGAATCCCTCTACCAAACGGCATTTTTTACTGAGATAAAGAGATTAACGGTACTTAGGCTACTCATTACGGTGCATAGAAACAAATTTTCCTTCTTTTTTTTTTTTTTTTCAAACAGCTAAAAGTTATTGTAAACATGCCCACTGTCTTCCCATCTTTTTTAGTTTTTACTGTAAAGAATATTAAGTTTGTGTCCTCCTTAATTCACCTCTTTAATTTTGTCATTTTATTATAATTTTGTTTTTAAGTTGATATTATAAAAAGAGAGGGACATAAATCTTTATGCTCTTTACTATTTCTACCATGCCATTCTTCAAAAGCCAAGTCAAAAGATCATCGTTTCCAACAAAATCTTCCTTGCATGAATGATGTGTTCATGTTAAGTGGTGTTGTTTGTTAGGTCTCTTTGATTTTTTTTTTTTTTTTTGAAATATGTTTGGTTTTTAATGGTTTGGCTGGGTGCTCCTGTTTAGGCAGCCTTATCGTTGTTTCCTTTCCTTGTTTATTGAATGCTTTTCAACCAACAAAAGCATACCAACAATGAAAAGGGAAAATGGCAGCCCAAATTATTCATCTAGTGAAGTCTCTTAAGGGGTGAAGAGTTTACCTATATTAACCATTTTAAGATTTAAGATTAAGATTAGGAGTATACTGCAATGTCAAAGATGACCGAAACTTTGTAGCTTCTACTACTTCATAAAAATCATATTATCGTGTTAATAATAGGATAATTGGCACTGTTAATCCTTGAATTTGCATTTACTATAACTATTTATGTAAAATTCAGTTATTATGCGATACGTTCATTAATTTTAATGGTAAAAGTTCAAAAATCAAAGAAAGAAAGTTCAAGAACTAATATACTAAGGTCTCGTTCATTTCACCGATTCGAGTTTTCAGTTCTAGATTTTTATAGTTAAAAGTTCTCAGAAAATATCACATCTAACTTTTTCTGCTATAGTGAAAAACTCTCAGAAAATATCACATCTCAACTCAAATTGAAAATTCAAATCCACAAAGTGAATGAGGCATAAAATTATAAGTTTAAAATCAAAATGTCATTATGCTCAAAGTACAATACTAACCGTGCCTACTCTCAATGATAATTAAAAGAAAAAAGTTAGTCATTGTGATGAGCTGTCAAGGGAATTTAAAGGCCTCGTTCATTTCGCTGATTCGAGTTTAGAATTCGAGTTTTGCTACAGTAAAAAGCTCTCACAAACAATCACATCTAACTTTTTTGCTACAGTAAAAAGCTCTCACATAAAATCACATCTCAACTCGAATTAAAAACTCGAATCAGCAAACTAAACGGGCCCTTTGTTGATTTCAGTCCATATCAAAAGTTCTCCAAATAAAGAGTAGCCAAGTAGAGTATGCCCGTTTAGTTCGTTGATTTGAATTTTTAATTCAAGTTGAGATGTGATTTTATGTGAGTTTTTTACTGTAATAAAAAAATTAGATGTGACTATTTCTAAAAATTTTTTACTGTAACAAAACTCAAATTCTAAACTTGAATCGGTAAAATGAACATGACCTAAGTTACTTTTGTTTAGAATTAGAATCAAAGTATTCATCAAACAACCCATCAAAAGAACTCATCCAACAATATTTCTCTTTTTTGCCCAGGAACCTTTTCTTTTCTTTTCTTTTCCCTTCCTCCTTTTTTTTTTTTCCCCTTTATTCTTTGAAAAATATTTTAAGGCACCACCGGTGTTAAACACCATTACTAATAGAAAGTGAGTCTCATCTTATTCTATTAGTTGACAGTTCTAAGCACCACTGGTGCCCAATAACATTATTCTTATTCTTTTTACCTAAATTCCCTCATCTATCTATATCCTAAGACGCAAATTGAAAATAAAATAAAATGCCATAAAGAGTATGGAAATGATATATATTAATAAAGGGGCAATGTCTAGAAGAAGAAAAAGGAAAAGGAAAAAAAAATGAACAAACAACCATGGTTTAAGTCTGTGTTACAATCATTTCTTCTTTCCACACATCCGAATATGGGTTATTATGATCATGCAACAACTTTTACTTCCATAAATATTCACACACAAATCCAACTCACTTTACAAGTAAAAGGCTCAAAGACCACATGGCAAAAATCCTACTTGCATTTACACACTAACTAGAATATACACTAACGGTAACAAAATAACGACATCAAAAGAATGAACTCAATATGTAATCCTTTTTTCGGGAATTTCACAAGTTGCAGAGGCTCACCCTCACCCTCCATACCCGTCTTATTGCAGGGTTCAATCGGCGATCTAGATTCTAGCTTTCAACTCGAGCCCAATATGCGGGTTTGGGGGATTTTTGCGATACTAAAAAAGCTTCTCTAAGTATTTTCCCTAATGCTAGCCTCCTTTAACGATCCCAATCAGATATATCCTGCATAAAGAAAGCAAAGTTACCTCCAGAGACGTTTATACTGTCTGTAAAACTCGTTAAGTAGTAGATGGATTGACACTTTACTGTATGAATAATGCTAGAGACACCAATTCTAATCTCAACTTTTTGATACCAACTTATGTGACATGTGAATTGCCACCATTTTGCTGGTAAGTGTTTGCATCAATTAATAATAAGCGATTACATCTACCAGTGAAAAGATGACAACTCTATGTTGCGTGAGTTTAGCACAAAAAAGTTAATATTAGAATTGACGTCCCTAAAACTACTCTTTACGTGACATGTGAACTGCCACCCTTTTGTTGGTAAGTGTCTGCATCAATTAATAATAAGCGATTACATCTATTAGTGAAAAGATGACAACTCTATGCCGCGTGAGTTTAGTAGGCTTAGAAACAGAATGTTAAGACCATCTCTAACACGCACAGGCCAAATCTGTAACACCAAACAGAATTGGTGTCCCTAAAACTACTCTTTACGGTACTCATTGAAATAAACTAATAAATGTCACAGGACTAATCACTAGCCTGCAAGACTAATTGTCCATGCCAACTGCTAAAGGAGACCACGTTGAAACAACCATGCAAAGGCGATTAAAAAAAGAAAAAAGTAAGTGATTTTTGGTCATTAATGACATATCTTTAAATTGGTTTTAAAAGATAAAGTATTCTGTATCCTAGCAAGAATCTTGGCTCAGGATCTTAGTGGATTCACCTATATATTCTCCATTGATTTGCTTTACCATGAGCCTAACTAAGGTTTTTAGAGTTGTTCAAAATACAGCCAGGTTTACCCAACATATTAAAGAAGTTATTTTGGTGAACTCCTTAAGACATCAGCTTTTTGTAGGCTTAGAAACAGAATGTTAAGACCATCTCTAACGCGCACAGGCCAAATCTGTTATAAACGTGCATAATGCCCCCCAATCTTAATGAACAATACAAAGGAACTATTTTATGAGTTTTCATAAAGAATGATTTAAAAATAAATAAATAAATAAATAAAAAGAGAGAGAGAGACTAACAGCTTTTCCAATTTCCAGAGCAACAAGAGTACTCACCTGTTCAAATTTTAAGCAGCTTATCCCGACTTCAATCCCCATGTCTGTTACAACATCCTCATTCTCAATCTCTGCATCAGTGAATGTGAGAGCCCTCTGTAGCTTCCTAGGCGAAAACACTTCAACTTCAGCCATGTATGTTGCTGTCACAGGTCGATGATCAGAAAGCTTAAGTTCCGTTCGTCTATAGTTCAATTGCCTCATTCCTTTACCGTATGAAAGAATGCGGTCACACCTGATTGATGAATACATTGTAAACTCACAATACATTTTCCAGGAAGAAAACAATATTCAAATACGAACCATTTCAAGAAAACTTTAACTTATCCAACTTTGTAGTCGAATGCGTCATTTTCAGTTAGCAACCAAAATTTTTTCACATATTATTTTAGATTGCTCTCGAAAGAATTTCAGAGGAAATTATTTCTTATTTCCTTGATACGGTTTACAGAGAAGACTCCCCCTAAATAGAAAGGACAAAGGTACAATTATGGTAATTCCTTATTACCACGTTTATTCTCCAAGAAAACTACCAAAAATACTACAAAAAAATTAAGAAATAAACACAAAGTCAATACACTAAATTGAGACACAAAATCCATGGGAATCACTCAGATATTCCCATGGAATCACACGGATTTTTCCACTCCCCCTCAAGCTAGTGAATATATGTTAATCATTCCCAGCTTGTCTACTAGAGCTTCAAACATCAACAACTTGTTGAGACGAAGGTACATAAAAAAGTTCTACTACACCCTCATCAATCTTCTCCTTAATAAAGTGTATGTCAATTTTCACATGCTTGGTACGATCATGGTGAACAGGATTCTGAGCTATACACAAGGCTGCTTGATTGTCACAGTAGACCTTTAAAGGAGTCTTGTGTTCAGCTTGCAATTCTTCCAGAACTCTTCTGATCCAAATTGTCTCGCAAATTCCATGTGCTAGTGCTCTGAACTCGGCTTCTACACTATTGCGAGCAACAACACTCTGTTTCTTACTCCTCTAAGTAACAAGAATTCCCCATACCATAGTACAATAGCCAGAAGTTGACCGCCTATCTTCGATTGAACCTGCCCAATCAGCATCTGTAAAAGCCTCAATTTGCCTTTGTTTAGTCTTTCCAAAGAACAAACCTTTCCCTGGTGTCATTTTCTGATATCTCAGAATCCTATACATGGCAGCTAGGTGTTCTTCATAAGGAGAATGCATATACTGACTCACAACACTTACTGCAAATGCTATGTCAGGCCTGGTGTGAGATAGATAGATTAGTCTCCCTACTAACCTTTGATATCTCCCCCTATCTACTGGGTCTCCTAACTCCTTCTTCTTCACTTTTCCATTCACCTCCACAGGGGTTTCAAATGGTCTTCCACCAAGCATACTAGTTTCCTCTAAGAGATCAATCGTATACTTTCTTTGGGAAATCGAAATGCCTTTTCTTGTACAAGCAACTTCCATTCCTAGAAAGTATCTTAGCTGCCCCAAATCTTTGACCTCAAATTCTCTGGGCAACACTTTCTTCAAGTCTGACAGTTCTTCAAGATTATCCCCTATTAAGATAATATCATCCACATATACTATCAAAATCGAGACCTTACCACCTGAGTGTTTGTAGAATAATGTGTGATCAGACTGTCCTTGAGTGAAACCAAAACTCCTGACTGTCATAGTGAAACGATCGAACCAGGCTCGAGGAGATTGCTTAAGTGCATATAGTGACTTCAACAACCTGCACACCTTATTGCCTCCAAATTCCCCTTTAAACCCTGGCAGTAGATCCATATACACTTCTTCTTCAAGTGTCCCATTAAGGAATGCATTTTTTACATCCATCTGGTGTAGAGGCCAGTCAAGATTAGCAGCCAACGAGAGTAGTATCCTGATTGTGTTAAGTTTAGCAACTGGGGCAAAGGTCTCATTATAATCCACTCCAAAGGTTTGTGTAAAACCTTTAGCTACTAACCGTGCTTTATACCTTTCCACTGACCCATCTGAGTTGTATTTGATTGTGAAGACCCATTTACAACTCACTGGGCACTTTCCCTTGGGTAGATTTACAATCACCCACGTACCATTCTTTCTCAAAGCTTCAATTTCCTCCAATACTACCTTCTTCCATTGTGGCTTTTCAAGGGCCTCATGTATACTTCCAGGAATCTCCTCAGCACTCAACAAATATCTTCTTGGTTAGAGCTCGGAAAGCAGGTGACAAATGTTTGAAGGACATAAAATTGTACAGCGGATGTTGGGTGCAGTTCCAAGTACCTTTTCGAAGTGCAATAGGAACATCAAGATCACTAGCTAGCAGTTCTTCCTTTACTGTCTAAACCTCCTTCTCTTTGGATTCTTTAGCAACAATACCTACCTCATTCATTTGTGTTTACCTCCGATTCAAGCTCTTGATAGTGCTTCAGAGTTGTAATAGGCTTGTGTTGCTTTCGAGATTGTCCAGCCCGCCTAGAATAAATACAAAGTTCTTGTGATTCTTTTTGTGTGCTTTGCACATGTGATTCTCCCCCTGTTTCCATATCATTAGACAACATAATAAGTAACACTGGACTCTTAGAAGGTAAACTAGGGGGCTCTGACTTTGATTGAATGGGAAACTCTGACTCTGTCTCTGATTGAATGGAGAAATCCCAAAGCTGCCCTGCATGTCTCGCATTCTCCCCCTGACGGGTAGGTTTGTAGTAAGCTTGATTTTCAAAGAATGAGACATCCATGGATACGTATACCCTTTTTTTGACAGGACAGTAGCATTTAAAACCTTTCTGACTTGGAGAGTAGCCTAAGAAAACACACTTAATAGCTCTAGCATCAAGTTTGCTGAGGTGAATTTGAGTGTACAAATGCAGTACATCCGAATGTTTTGAGGGGAAGATCATGAAGTAAACAAATTTGGGGATAAGATTTACGAAGAATAGACAATGGTGTTTGGTACTGAAGGACTCGAGACGGAAGACAATTAATTAGATAGCAAGATGTAAGAACTGCTTCCCCCCAAAAAAACTTAGGAACATTGTTAGCAAACAAGAGTGCACGGGCCATTTCGAGTAAATGCATGTTTTTACGTTCAACGACATTGGGGGGTATCGACACACGAGCTTTGATGGAATATTCTATTCTCTGCTAGATATGGACCCAAAGCATTGTTAAAATACTCTCGCCCATTATCTATACGAAGAATTTGAATTTTTGTCTGAAACTGTGTTTTCACCATTTTATGAAAGTTTTGAAAAATGTTGACAGCATTTGATTTTTCTTTTAAGAGAAATACCCAACTGACTCGAGTATGATCATCAATAAAGGTTATGAACTATCGTGCACCTGATATGTTATTTATTCTTAAGGGACCCCAAATATCACTATGAATAAGTGAGAAAGGTTTGGAAATTTTATAAGGTTGCAAAGGATAAGGAACACGAGTATATTTAACAAACTGAAATGTTTCACAGACAAATGAGTGGACATCTTTATTGATAAATAATGAGGGAAACAACCTTTTCAAATATAAAAAACTAGGATGGCTTAACCTATTATGGCATAACATAATTTCACTGGAAGTAGAGACATAATCACAACTCAAAGCCTGAACTTGTTTATTCTCTGCAAGCCGAGAACCTTCAAATAGATATAGCCCATCACACTCCTCAGCACTGCCAATCGTCTTACCCGAAAGTAAATCCTGAAACTCACACAAAGAATGGGAGAACTTAGCGGTGCAGTTCATAGCTTTTATTAACTTTGTAATTGACAAAAGATTGCAGGTAATGGTTGGTATAAACAACACAGAGTGTAAAGTTATATAATCAAAAATTCTCACTGTCCCTTTTCTTGTTCCTGATGCCAAAGAGCCATCTGCAATTTTAATTTTCAAACCATTATCACATGGTTCAAAACTTGAAAAAAATACTCCTACTGTTTGTCATATAGTCTGCGGCTCCCGAGTCAACAATCCAACAGACTTTGTTAGCAGTTTTGGTTGTTAGAGCAGAAAGAAAATTGCCCTTCTGTGTAACTACTGCTGTCGGGCCTGAGGATGACGAAGTTGAGGATGGAATCTGGGACAGGATAATCTGAAGCTGTTGCAATTGCTCCCTGCTGAATGCCGAACAAGAACTGGTTTCTGGAATTTTTTCTCCTTCTCCAGATGAGGCTTTGAAGCCTCGGCTTTCTCCAGAATTTCGTTGGCGCCAGCGTTCACGTGCTAGCTTCCAGTCCGGTGGTTTTCTATGGATTTCCCAACATGTGTCTTTGGTGTGTCCATGACGCTAACAGCGATCACACCAAGGCCTATCACTCCTCCTTTGATTTGGGTTCTCTCCACTAGGCCCGGGATTTTTCTTGACAACCAAAGCTGATTCTTGGTGTGGCAGTTCGGCAATGGGTGTAGGGTTGGTCTTCTTTTTCTAGAGCATTACTCTCTGCTGAGCTTCTTCACGTCTCACTTCAGCGAATGCCTCTTTAATCTCAGGAAATGATTTGAAACCAAGTACACGACCTCGGAATTCATCCACTTCCTTATTGAGACCGAGTAAGAAATCAAATACTCGCTCTTTGTCAAGCATCTTCTTGAATTTAGCACTATCCGTAGAGCAGCTCCAATTGAAGTCCTGATATAGATCTAATTCCAGCCATAAGACTTGTAGTTCATTATAATACTCTGTTACACTTAGATTACCTTGCCTCTTTTCTCTTATGGCAGATTTCAATTCAAAAATCTGGGCTGAGCTCCCTAAGTCAGAGTACATCTCTTCTACCATCTCCCAGATCGTGTTTGTTGTTTTGTAGTAGAGATAAACACGGCTGATCGCTGGTTCCATCGAGTTCAACAGCCATGCCTTCACCATGGAATCTTCGGATTTCCACTTCTTGTAGGTAGGAGTCCTAACTTCAGGTGGTACGGCTACCCCTGTCAAGTAATCCAGCCGTCCTTTTCCATCAATAACAAGGACAACTGATTGAGCCTACTCTACATAATTCGCACCATTCAACTTGTGCTGTGTAATCTATAGTGAATGGTTGTCGTTGATGTTGTGGATGATTTGTTGGGATGTGGCTGTCGTTGATGTCGAGGTTTATCCGCTTGTGACTTCGAAGGCAGCTTCACGAGAGGCCCCTGTTATGGCCCCAATCATGGCGGTTTTTGCCATTAGAAAGAGCAAAGAGAAACACAATCCCGCTCTAATACCATAAAGAATTTCAGAGGAAATTATTTCTTATTTTCTTGATACGGTTTACAGAGAAGACTCCCCTTAAATAGAGAGGACAAAGGTACAATTATGGTAATTCCTTATTACCACGTTTATTCTCCTAGAAAACTACCAAAAATACTACAAAGAAATTGGGAAATAAATACAAAGTCAATACACTAAATTGAGATAAAATCCATGGGAATCACTCAGATATTCCCATGGAATCACACAGATTTTCCCACACTCTCAACAAGTCCCAACACATTGTTTTAGAAGGTAATAGAGTGCAATGAATTACAAAGAAAACATTGTTTCTGAGTTCAGCTTGTAATCTGTTACACCTGTAATAATTTTAACGTCATTTTCAAACTTCTTAGAGCTTTATTTGTACTCATTCTGATGTTCCATTAACACACACTAGAGACGTTCTGCTCAGATAACCCTTCCTCCCTTCATTTCTTAAGTATAATGTACATCATGGAAAAAAGCATCCAGTGCTATTAAAATGTAACTGACAAAGATTGAATATGGGCACTCCTGAATAAAGTAGATAAATCAAGAAAATTAGCATTAAATTTCCGTGTTCTCTAGTGCCGGCTAGCGGGAAATCATAGTACCCATTGAAAATTTGACGAATGGGATATGCACCTGAAGTCATTCAAAACAATCATGGCTAGAAACCCATACAAAGAATTATTTGACTTAAAACTAAGTCAAGATGGCTGCATAATCATGCAAAGGATTCATTATGATTGAATTCAGAGTAACCCAAAAAAAGCAAGACAATTAAATGCATCTGTGATTGAAGATAACCCATTATGATATGAAAAGTAACCCAAGCATACCATGCTGGAGTTCGCCTCCCAGCTTTTGGATCCTCTCCAAAGTACTTCTCTGAATTAATCTCATATTTGTATGTTGGTGGAAATTTTAGAGTACCCTCAGACCATCCATCAAATGCACGACCTTTTCTAAGCTCCCGAACAAGCTGTCAAAATAATATGTCAAAAAGTGTTTAGCAGCTAAGTTCACTCCTACTAAATTAAATTTTCTTTAAGCTTAAATTTAGCAAAACAATAAATATGCAATGAGTTACTCCAATATTTCATACGCGTTGGTTTCATTAATTTGAGGACTAAAATAGAGAAGGAAAAAAAAATTGCTTTGAACTGATATGCAAACAACTATTGACTCGAGTATGTATGTAAATTGAACTTAATTTGTACGCAAATTCTAAGATTATGTTGTACATTTCATTCCTCATATTTCCTGTGTCATGAGCATCAACCGATCTTTCACCATCTATCATATCCAAACATATCTAAGAGTTCTGAACTTCACCTAAACAGTTCCATCAGCCAACGCATGACTCATAGGAGTTCCTTAAACCATATAAGTGCTATCCTGGTGTTTGAAATGCCAAATAGAAATCCTTTGAAGTACCATCTTTAGAGAAATACTTAACGTACCTGGTCACTCTCAACCAACTCAGACCATCTCTTCTTGGAGATTAGTTCTCGTGCTTTCTCGTATGACAAGTTGATTCGGTAATTCAGATCGCCCAACCAAATTATTCTTCTGCAAGAAAGAGAGAGTGAGAGAGGAAGACTATTATTCAAACATAATTCAGTAGTAGGGATACCAAAAGGTATCAAGATAACCAGGAGAAAAAAAATACTGAAAAGAAGGAACAAAACATAAACAATAAAAAGAAAAAGAAATGGTAGAAGAGGAGTTGGATAAGACGATCCATTTTATATTCTGCAACACAGTCACATGTACTCACTCATGGTCGTGGATGAATTTGGGAAGCCCTATTTTGGAAAGTGAATGAAAGTGCATCCTTCGATGTATTTCTTGCACATCTGCGTTTCTTTTAAGTTTATCTACTTCTCTTTCACCTGATGGCAGGTGAGCACATATAAAACAAAACAGAGTCTGGTATATGGACATACTAACAGATACCGCGCCCTGAAAAATTGAAATCTGTTAGAAGAAAATCAAGCATTTCAAACGTCAAAACTCAACATAATACGGATTGAAATACTCAAATACAATGTATTTAAATTCACAGTCTACAAGAACAATATCAAAACATAAGACACTGGTACAACAACAATGCTATTACTAGATTTAACGTAATCTTTAAGTGAGTCTAAAATCTACTGATGAAGCTTACAATTACAATAGAGATAAGCCAAAAGGAGTACAAAAGTTGAACTAAAAGTAAACTAAAATAACCTTGTTACCGATGTAGCCCATAACACCAACACCAACAGTAGACACCTTTAAGTTCTGAATGTGCCTCCGCAAGCTCCTACGAACCCATACAGTAAGGAAAATACCAACCATTTGTTTACTTACTATCCTTACATATGATGATCTTCTTTTACGCTTCATAAGAGATTCAAGGTCAATTTCTGCAAGCAAAGCAATTTCTGGAGCCACATCATTTACATTTGACTTGAAAGAACTATATGTTCTGAAAGACTTGGATGCCTTGAAAGATTTAACCGACTTAAAAGAATTTGGTCTCTCTAACACATGTTGAGATAGCAAGCTTAATGGAGGTTCTGGCCAGCTTAAACCAATCCTTTCACTCCCGCTTAGCATCTTGGTTAATTTGACAGTAGGTTGAACACCTGATGCTTGTGAATTAAATGGATTGTCTTCATTCCGTAAACAGTTTAATCTATCTAACCTCTTTGGAGAAGAAAATTGCCTGTTTAGCTCCCCTTCGGCAAGCATGCCTGAATTAGCAAGATCATTTCCAGACTCCAAATTCACCTTTTCACCTGTGGTTGCTGTTCCTTTGCCTTCATCATTGTTGTTTGGTTCTTCATTTAAAGGATGGACTTCGTCGCCAATATCATGGAATTCTTCATCAACATCACTATCACTTTCAAGTAATATCTCCTCTTCTATGTCAGGAATGTCATCAGGTGGTTTATACTTTGAAGGAGATGGAGGATCACTGAAGGATTTAATCTTCTTTGCTTCAGGTCGAATTCTATTAAGTGCTTCCCGAATAATATTTTCCCACAATATAACTGGACGGCCATCTTCAGCACCAAAGATGTTTCCAGCATTTAATGGCACTATCTCCTGAAGACTGGTAATATAGAAGCATTTTGTTATTATCACATCTCTAATAAGATAAAATAGGAATGCAAGCATGTTTTTTGCACATATTAAAGCAATGTGGTATCAGATGATAAATTGAAAATATTTAATAAATTCTGAAAGCAAATGAGGCAAACACTCACCCTAGCACATAAACGTCAGCTGGCTCATTGGTGTCTAGCCAATCATCTATATCAAGGTCATCAGGTGGAAGTTTTCCTCCGACATTCCACGTCCCTACGCATATTCTAAGGACACCAAAAAAAAAAAAAAGAACATAAAATTAAAACGCCTGGTTAACCAACCCAATGAAGTAAATGATCTTTCACTGTATAGATTGTGCAACTAAGAATTAGACTATTATAAATATTTTCAAAACAAAGGGGAAGGAAGGGAAATTCTACCTGAGTTCCTTTGTGTTTATATACTGTGCCCTAAGAGTTTCTGACTTTCGTCTTCGTATCTTTGGAAGAGCATCTGAATTTTATTAAACAGGAAAAAAAACCAATAAACAAAAAGCAAAGCATGAAAATTTTGTAAAAGCAGCGTAGAACTTTCACTTGGCACAAACTCAAGAACAAAAAACATGAAAGACTTTAGTTAAAATTTAAACTACATATAATCTCTAATCTAATGCAGTGTCGTATAAAAAATGAATTCACCATTCATACAGGGGTGTCCATCATCACTTGTCAAAAGAAGTCTTTGGCTAATTGAAAACATTCTAACTAATAAATCTAAAAGGTTTTTCTGTACCTTCTCTCAAATAAAAATGAAAAGAACTGCAAACAGACCAACACCATAAACCCGTTTGACAACCAGTCAATTCTTTCAAAAGTTCTCCAACCAAAGAAACAAAAATAATGGTTAGTCCATTTTCACCCTGCTTCGACATTGCTAAGTTCGATTTAGATCCCTACACTACTAAATTGTCTGTAATAAAATCCAATAAACAACAAATTCAAAGAGGTACTTGCGAAAGAGAGAGCAAAAGAATAATAATAATAATAATGAGAAGGATAAGTCAATCAATTCTAATTACATTGAATCAAAGAAATAACGTTCTTCGCATAAGATCAAATGCCAGCTCCACAAGTAACCTCTTTTTCTTTCCCTCATTGATAAAAGGCGATACAATAGTATTAAAAAAAAAAGATCTACGGTTACTGTTTGTTCCTTCTTTAAAAAGGAACAATTCCGCGTTGAAATATTGAAATATTACCAGTAGGATCAACCCGTGCATCGTCGTCTACGTTATCTCTAAAACGTGATGGGGCTGATGGCCTTCCACGTTGGTAAAATTCTGCAAAATAACCCATTGTTTGAGTCAAGCTGAAATCTCAAAAAGGCTCAGAACAGAAAAGAAAGGCAAAAAGGCCAGTCTACCTTATACTACCAAACTGTTCAACAAAACCCCATCATCAAAACTCATTAAGATTTTCAAACAAACAGCTTTTATGAAACTTGAAGACTACACATTCAAAATGAGAATCTAGGACAGAAGAACAAAGTGCAAAGCTACAAAATCTTGAAAGAGCATTCTAAAAAGCTCAAAATAAAGGCATACATTTATAAGCATACCTTCCAGAAAAAAAAAAATATATGTATATATGTGTGTGTGTCCAAATTCTCCCAAAAAAAAGGCAAAAAAAAAAAAAAAAAACACAACATGATCATGAAACTAGAACAGAAGTCCATAAAAACCCACTTAAAAAAAATTAAAAAAATCTATAGTACAAAAACACAGAACAAAGAGCAAAACTTCAATTTAAAAAAAAAAAAAATCATTTCAAGCAAACTCCAAAACCACATATAGGCCTGTACATAAACCCGAACAACCCGCCCCACCCCAACCCAACCCGAAAAAGACAACTTATAACATTATTTTTTATTTTTCGGCCCACTAAATGTCTGGCCCGGGGTGTTTGGGACGGTTTGTGGGTTGAGCCTATAATAACCCGCACACCCCAACTCAACCCGCACAAACATGCCTGATAAGGAGCCTATGAGTGTGGACTGATAAGAATGGTTGTTGTTGTAGTGCTTGCTTTGGATGGATTTGAATTAAGCCTCTAATTTTATGTTTGATGTTGGATGGACTATTTTGCTTCATGTTTGATGTTAGATTGAACTTTAAATTGCTATCTATTTGATGATGGACTAATCAGTATTATTTCTATTTAATGATGAACTTTGAATGTTAGAGTTATGTTTGATTAACAGTATTATTTTTATTTGATGATCAATATTATTTGATGATGAACTTTAAATGTTAGAGTTATTATTTTTATTTGATGATGAATTTTGAATGTTAGATTGAACTTTGATTCTTTAAATGATGAACTTGACCACCCAACTCACCTCACCCCGCCCCAACCCAAACATCATTGGGTTGTGAAATTTTTCTAATATTATTAGAGCCAAATATTTACAATCTGCACCCTTTAAGACAGAGTAAGAAAAAGTCTTATCTCGCACCAACCCAACCAACCCATGTACGGCCCTAACCACATACAGCATTACCATAACATCCCAGAAAAAGAAAAAACGTTATAGTTCTCCAAAATAATAATAATAAATTAATAGTAATAATAATAATGAATCACGCATGATCATGAAACTAGAAGTTGAAGACCCAAATTTACTATGGTGTGTTGTATCTGACCTTCATTGTCGGAATCAGTGTGATTGTCGTCGTCATCTTCAGGGTCGGCGCTGTAATCGGAGTCCTTGTCGCTGATGTTGAGCCATTTTCTCATAACCACTCTTGGCCAGAACAGCTGTATGCACGACCAATCCAAACAACACAATTCAGCCCAACTTCTCTTCTGCAAATTTCTCAGATTCACAAAATCAAACAAAATTCCAAAACCAAATATGTATCTGTATTATAATCAAACAAAGGAAAAAAGAACTTTCTTTCTCTTACCTCTGAGTTATGCTTTGAACTTTGCTTCATCTGTGCAGGCATAGTAAATAAATACCAATAACAATGAACACAAAATCTTCTAGAACAAAAGGATTAGAGCTCAAATATGAAGAACAAACAAGAAGAAAAAAATGCGGTTTTTTTTTCTTTATTTCTCTGTAACCGCAACATAACGGAAGTTGGGATACAAAATATAGAAATAAAAAAAGAATTCGCAATTCTTTGTTAATGGGGTTTTGGATCCGACACGCATGGTCCCCACAATCGCTGTTCATTGTTTTTGTTTATTCGGGTTTTTCTCACAAAATACACACAAAGTGTTTGTCTCTATGTCGCAGTTAAAAAATATGAGAGAATTGAATTTGACAGAGTCACAAATGGGAATGGCCCAAGTGTTATTGGGTGGCAACTTCTTTTCGTTCTTAGTTCCTCGTGTCAGGGGATCTTGTCGCCCTTATCTCTAAGATTATGATTTTTATGATGTTTTTTTTAAGAGATAATCTGTATAGTTAACTCAATTAATGTACTGGTTTTCTCTAGAGACCAAAAAAAAAAAAAAAAGGTTGCAATTAATGCTTGCTCGTGAGAATAATGTAATGTCAACTTCTCAATATACATGGTGATTAAATCTTGAGACCTTTTTTTTTGGGAAAGTTGAGAGTTATAGGACCTGAGATTCCTGTGAGTGAGAGAGAGATGGAAATTCAAGAAGAAATGAAAGCGACTCTTAAATATTATTCACCAAAGAAAAAAGCAACTTCCAAGAAAAGAAAATTACAAATAAATGTCAAATTACGACTTGTACTATTGTTACAATATGTTACGAATGTGGAACTTATTGAAGATAAAACTTTATAATTTATCGAATTTTGTCTCGCTCTACATGAATTATGAAGTTAAAGAATGGTAGATAAAGAAGATTGTATTTAATAATGTGCTTCAAAGAAAGAAACAGTTGCTTAAACAAAAGCAGTTATTGAGTTCACAAGTTAAAAATTATGAAGTTAAGAATGGTAGATAAAGAAGATTGTATCTAATAATGTGCTTCAAAGAAAGACACAGTTGCTTAAACAAAAGCAGTTATTGAGTTCACAAGTTAAAAAGAACTCACAAGTTAAAAAGAACTCTCTAGAAACCAACCGACTTTAAAAAGTTAAAGTTTTATTTATTTTATGCGTTTAAATATACGATTTTAATTTTGTTATAGTATTTTTATCTTAAAAAAATTTAAAATTTAAAAATTAAAATTTAAAATCATTTATTTAAACACGTAAAAAAATATTAAAACGTTTTTCACCCAATATAGCAACCTGCGTAGACTACTAATTGTAATTAGGTGGTGGATGGGACTGGGAGATGGGAGACTAATCCAGTTGGGTTGGACAAAATAAAGAAACGGGAAAAGTAGTGGCTAAGATTAACATTCAACGTTCAGCTGCCAAGTGGCCATCTTAAAGCCAGTTCAACTTTTTTAAGAGGAGAATACCACTTTCCCAATTTGCCCTTTTTCTAGCTTTTTATTTTTATTTATTATTTTTTTTTTTTTGCTGCTGATTTTTCTAGCTTTCTTACGATTGGTTGAAGAACTTTCCTTAAAACATAAAAAAGAAGAAAACGAAAAGCAAATGGCAATCATTCAAACGCAATGATTTAGCACAAGAAAGTGCAATGCAAGTTAAGCATTGAACATCATTAAAGTATAACAATATAATATACATGTACAAGCATGTCCATATTATTAAGTAGCTTACTATGATAACTACTATTATACCATTGGTTGTATATATTTCTGAAATTAAAATACGGTCAAAACCACACTAAATTATAAACTATATAAGTATATTAAAACGTATAAATCTCATACAAACAAAATTGGCTTAAAAGTGTATTTTCTAAAGCAAAAATTAATGTAAAATTTATATGGTTTCACGGTTTAATGTATAGAAAACTACTGGTGAGTTGAATTTTACTATATTGAGTAACAATAATGCACATATCTTTTTCCTTTTGTAAAGCTAATTAAAATAAGAATGATTATGGTGAATGGTGACGTACATATAGGATACATAATAAAACACATCATAATCTTCCACCGCCATGACTACATAAAACGCTTTCGGCCATACTCATGAACTTCCATGTGGTCAGTTACAAAAATGACCAAACACACCATTATAGAAGAGAGAGAGGAAAAGGTCGAATCACTTGTGCAAGATATATATATGTATATATATATATATATAATATATAGAACTTGCAAATAATCATCCATCGAACAAATATTTCTTTCACATATATATAGAACTTGCACACATATATATAGGAAGGTCCCTTTTTATATTTCTTTCTTTTTTTTTTTTTGTTAAAAAATAACAAATAACCATCATCGAACTTGCAACTAAAAGTTGTGCAACCTTTTTTATTTTTTTATTTTTTTCAAATTTGATTTAGAAGGGACCAAACCAGAATCTTATATAAACTCCCAAAGCTATACATATATATATATATATATATAAACTTCCAAACAAATAATCATCCAACTTTTGGGTGCAAGTTCGATGGATGATTATTTGTTGTTTTTTAACAAAAAGGAAAAAAATATAAAAAATGATATTTTCTGATACGCCAACATATTAATAGGTCAGGTCTTTTGTCTGTCGGATCAACATAAAATCATGTAAAAGTTAAAAAGTATGCATATTTAACGAATAAAAAAACACAGTCTACCGGTACGTCAGGCGTACTAAGAATCTCTCTATAGAAAATTCTGAAATTATAATCCAAAACCGAAGTTGCAAGGCATACAAGAATACCTTTTTTCAATATTTTTGGGAGATTTTATGGTATGCCGGTGTATCGATAAATCAAGTTTTTTTAATCGTTAAATATGCATATTTTTTAACTTTTACGTGATTTTATACATATCTAATAATTAAAAAACCTGACCTATCATTATGTTAGCGTACTAAAAAAAAAGGTCCCATTTTCGAAAGGTGAAAACTTTTTGCTGCAAGTGCGACTAAGTACTATGTCTTATATAAACAATTCAAAATTGTATCTGAAAAAAAAAAAGAGAGGATCGTAATGGTATATTACAATAATTGATGAAAGCACTTAGGCAGATAGAAAACTTATTTGAGAAGACAGTAGTGGGATGAGTGGTACGTTTACTATAATTTACTATAATTGATGGAAATTAAAACAAGTACAATAATGGTTATTAAAGCTTTTATGTTTGGCACTTACAATACAAAAAATGTATATATATTTACTAAGTTTTACACACTGTTTCCTGAGGTCAAAGTTTTACTGTATTGTACTCTACTGTTTTTTTTTTTTTTTTTTTTTCATTTTCATGCATAGTTTAAATTTGTCTTTGAAAATTATTTAATTAAGATAAATACTTCGAGAAATAGACATTTGAAGTACATCTTCTTCCTTATTTTTTATTTATCCGCTTAAGTCCTTTTTATAAATCTATATAATCTGTTTCTAAATGATAAACATATTGACCATGGAAAATGGAATTCTTAAAATTTAATACCCGCGAACCTAGATATGTCCTGTTTTGGGTACCTACAATGCTTGTTCTTTGTCTGTGTGTGTGTGTTTTTAGTGGATAGATGCATTTGGTAGTTATAATCTATTAATTTTTTTTTCCTTTAGAAAAAATGATTACTTACAATAAGAGATCAGACTATGAAATTAATTATGTATAATTATATGGGAATTTTTCTGGTATTCTCTTCTGAATACCAGTGTTTTCTATTTATCAGCTGTTGAATCTATATTACTTTCTAAAAAAGATGAAACATCAGAAGAAAAAAAATCCCTAATTATATAATATCTCTCCACTCTGCTTAGAACTTGGAGGAAAAAAAAACAAAAACATGGTCAAACTAAATTGTATCAGATTATTATTAGACTCAAATTGAAACACTAATTGATAGAAAAGTCATATTTTATGTATAGCATTGCTTAGAATTTACTAAAAGAAAAATAACAAATGCCTTTGTTCATATAGCTATATATATGGATCCACGTGGTTAGATGATCAGACGCCATTTTGTGTCTTGGTGAAAGACAGAAAACTTTGTCCAACAAATTAGGTCAAGATCTAATCAGTCATGGATGGTTTAAAAGACATCATCATAAGGAATCCTTATTTTCAATTTGGGCTGCTAATATAATTTGGTCAGATGACTTGATTTGATTTGGCCTTTCACCAACTAATGTGCCCAAATAACCCCACCTTTATGTCACATGGGCATTACCACTATAATTGGACATATTTCCATAGATGAGGAATCTTGAAAGAAATAGGGTTTTTGTAGCACTTGTAAAGAGCTTAGAAAATGACCCTTCATAGATGAGGAATCTTGCAAGAAATAGGGTTTTTTGTAGCACTTGTAAAGAGCTTAGAAAATGACCCTTTCTTACCCTCTATTTTATATATATATATATGGTTTTTTTTTTTTTTTAGAAGATTGACACTTTTTCTAGCCTTGTAAAATTTAGTTAAGCAAGTCTTACATTTTAGGACCGAAATTAGTTTGAATCGTTCAATACTCAATAATAGATCAAATTAAATACTTTTAGAGACTCAACTAAGACTCACATTAATTAATAGTTAAGAATTAACACCGTCGTGTTCACGCAATCTCCCTAATCATAAGATCAAGAGAATCAATTTGTATGCCACTATTAGGACATCGTTTTTATACTTTTGGCCTAAAGGCATAGGTCTAGCACAAGTGTGTGCATATCCAAACTACAATGTTGGCCCATCAATTTAATTTCAACAAAAAAAAAAAAGGAAAAAGAAAGAAAAATGACCTTTCAATTATCCTTTCTTTTTCTTTTTCATTTTTAGCAGCATCCTAAATATCACTCCTAAAAATAAATAATTTGAGCCGTTACAAAAACTATCCCCTTGTCATGTGATAAAAATTAGTGAAAAATTAGGACCCGTTTAGTTCGATGATTCGAGTTTTTAATTCGAGTTGAGATGTGATTTTATGTAAGAGTTTTTTACTGTAGCAAAAAAGTTAGATGTGATTGTTTGTGAGAGCTTTTTACTGTAGTAAAACTCAAATTCTAAACTCGAATTAGCGAAATGAACGGTAATTGTTCACATAATTTTTTTCTTTCATTATTTATCGGTTGAAATTTGTACATAATTCTAAAAGGTGAACCTCTTCGCGATGTGTACGGTCACTTCATGCTAGAAACTCTTTTTTTTTTTTTTTTCCCTTGTCTTAATATACAAATCAAAGGCTACATGGCTGCTTTTTTCTTAAAAAAATATATTTTTTCTTTCGTAAATTTTCAAATTTTTGCTTCTTCTATTTTTTGTTCTGTCTCGATTATTCCTAGGTGTTCTGGGAGGTGGGAATTTTTTTCCCTTGTTTTCACACTTTACGTTTCTGTTCCAATAAAACCTCTATATTTAAGGGAAAATTTTCAACAAAAAACAAAAAAAGAAAGAAAGAAAGAAAGAAAGAGAAAAAAAAAAAAAAAAAACCATTAGAATTTTCTCTCATAAACGACACCCATGAAATTAGTTGACACCCATGAAATTAGTTGGAGTAAGAAGAGAAAAAAGTGGACTATTAGACAGTAGTGCAGAAGAAAGTAAGGAAAAGAGACCAATATTCTGATGAGACTTTTTAACTATCATGATCTTATTTGGTAAAAAAAATTTGTCATGCATTTATCCGAAACAATACATGAATCCAAACATTCGAATAAAGCCAAGAAATGCGCTGTCAAATTTATGTCTCAATTCAAAGCATTTATTGGCTCAGAAAAAAGCTGTTGAAATATGACCATATTATTATGTCTTGTTGAAATATGACCATATTATTATGTCTTGCAAGAACATCAAAACGAACAGTTTATTTATTTTTTTTTAAGAAAAAAAGAAAGAAAAATACTATAGTCGAGAAATAAAAGGAATTAATAAAAAAACAAACTCAAGAGTTTATGAGCTCCGGCTGTCGGTAGAATGAATGGCAATTATCCCAAAATTTTATGTATTTTTTGTTTCAATTTTTTGGTATCGTTTTTAGTTCTTGATGTATCAGAAGCATTTCCTAAATATCACAACCAAAATGAAAAAGACGAAATACAGTTGAAGATTGTTGCTAAAGAAGATTTTGATGTATTCAGAGAGGACATATGCAGCTAGAGATCAGTAGATCCAAAGCAAATCAAAGTAGAGAGAGAGAGAGAGAGAGAGAGAGAGAGAGAGAGAGAGAGAGAGAGAGGAGATGAATCAACACACACACATATATATATATACATATAAATATGTATATATATTACAGAACGTACCTTGATTGGAAGTTAACTAAACTAATTCAGAAGCTGATGATCAAATGTTTTTGCATCTTCTCTGCAGGAGACATTAGCTATAATAACAAAGTCTTCTTAATTTGCTGGAAGAAGTGTTAACAACTGCAACTGAAAGGGGGTTTGTTTTTCCTCACCAGGTTTTCTTTTTGTTTTTGTTTTTTTCTCTCTCTTTATATATATATATATATATATATGTGTGTGTGTGTGTGTGTGTGTGTGTGTATGTATATATATATATGTATATATATATGTGTGTGTGTGTGTGTGTGGCAACAGAGACTGAGGAAGAAAGGCAAGTGTGGTTATAGAGGCTAGAAAGAGAAGCTGTCTTCCCTTGTTCATTCCTTTGAGTCGCCCCTTTTATATTTTGGTTTTATATTTTTATTTTTATTTTTATGACCTGTATTTTGAACTATATCAAATTTACACTTACACATTTTTATCTTCTTTTTTTTTTAATCAAATGTTGATTTTGACTATGAAATTAACCTAAATATCCGTCACATTTTTAAATTTTTATTTTCTTCTTATTGTTATTCTTTTTTTTTTCTTTAAGGGTCTTTAGGTCTTTTTTGTGATCAAAATTTATAATTGACCAAAAAAAGCGTATGAATTAAGTATAAATTCAAATTTTAAAGGTGTAAATGCAATACAGTTCCCTCACACCAGTCCTTAGACTCTCTACTGCTCTATTTAAAAAAAAAAAGAAAAATTATGTATGTATGCACTCATTTTTCTCTTCAGACCTTCTATACTTTGTAATATAATTACGTGTGAAATTACTTTCCTCTAATATTTAGACAAAGTTTGAACGAAACATCTCAGCTAATAAAATAATAATTAATATGAGAGTAATTTTTTTTTCCTCGTGCATAGTTCAACCTAAGATGAATCCAAGGAAAATATGATTAATAAATAATCATTAGCTATTGAATTTTTCTAACCTTATTGCCAAATTCTTCCATTATTATACTTTAGTGTGTCTTTTAGTAATTAATTTACTGTTGTCTCTTTTTCGGGTGGAATTTACCGCTGTCAATCCATTTATCAAATTTTAGTTACATGACAAGACAATTGTGCTTACCAAAAACAAAGGATGACAAATGATTATCAATTTTAGCGGTAAAATGTAAATTGTTACAAATAAGTTGGCATTCTCTACAGTAGAACACTAAAAAAATAAATCAGTGAAACGCTTTTTTTAGCTGTTAGATTAATTTTTCGACTGTAAAATTTATAATAGGAACAATTTTGTATATGACACGCTATAAATTTTTAATATAAATTTGCACTGATATGACTATTGAAAAATTTAACGGTTAAAAATAGAATCTCACCGGTGGATTTTTTTAGAGTGTGTACGGTAGAGGTTGCCAAATAAGTTTGGTAATTAGAAAATAAAAATTTATTATTGACCAAAAAAAGCGTATGAATTAAGGCATCGTTCATTTTATCGATTCGAGTTTTCAGTTATAGGTTTTTACAGTGAAAAGCTCTCAAAAAATATCACATTTAACTTTTTTTGCTACAGTGAAAAGCTCTCAGAAAATATCACATCTCAACTCAAATTGAAAACTCGAATCTACAAGGCCTAAGTATAAATTCAAAATTTAAAGGTGTAAATGCGATACAGTTCCCTCACACTAGTCCCTAGACTCTCTACTGCTCTATTTTTAAAAAAAATTATGTATGTATGCACTCATTTTTCTCTTCAGACCTTCTATACTTTGTAATATAATTACGTGTGAAATTACTTTCCTCTAATATTTAGACAAAGTTTGAACGAAACATCTCAGCTAATAAAATAATAATTAATATGAGAGTAATTTTTTTTCCTCGTGCATAGTTCAACCTAAGATGAATCCAAGGAAAATATGATTAATAAATAATCATTAGCTATTGAATTTTTCTAACCTTATTGCCAAATTCTTCCATTATTATACTTTAGTGTGTCTTTTAGTAATTAATTTACTGTTGTCTCTTTTTCGGGTGGAATTTACCGCTGTCAATCCATTTATCAAATTTTAGTTACATGACAAGACAATTGTGCTTACCAAAAACAAAGGATGACAAATGATTATCAATTTTAGCGGTAAAATGTAAATTGTTACAAATAAGTTGGCATTCTCTACAGTAGAACACTAAAAAAATAAATCAGTGAAACGCTTTTTTTGGCTGTTAGATTAATTTTTCGACTGTAAAATTTATAATAGGAACAATTTTGTATATGACACGCTATAAATTTTTAATATAAATTTGCACTGATATGACTATTGAAAAATTTAACGGTTAAAAATAGAATCTCACCGGTGGATTTTTTTAGAGTGTGTACGGTAGAGGTTGCCAAATAAGTTTGGTAATTAGAAAATAAAAATTTATTATTGACCAAAAAAAGCGTATGAATTAAGGCATCGTTCATTTTATCGATTCGAGTTTTCAGTTATAGGTTCTTACAGTGAAAAGCTCTCAAAATATATCACATCTAACTTTTTTTGCTATAGTAAAAAGCTCTCAGAAAATGTCACATCTCAACTTGAATTGAAAACTCGAATCTACAAGGCTTAAGTATAAATTCAAAATTTAAAGGTGTAAATGCGATACAGTTCCCTCACACTAGTCCCTAGACTCTCTACTGCTCTATTTTTTAAAAAAATTATGTATGTATGCACTCATTTTTCTCTTCAGACCTTCTATACTTTGTGATATAATTACGTGTGAAATTACTTTCCTCTAATATTTAGACAAAGTTTGAATGAAACATCTCAGCTAATAAAATAATAATTAATATAAGTGTAATTTTTTTTTTCTCGCGCATAGTTCAACCTAAGAGGAATCCAAGGGAAATATGATTAATAAATAATCATTAGCTATTGAATTTTTCTAACCTTATTGCCAAATTCTTCCATTATTATATTTTAGTGTCTTTTTTAGTAATTAATTTACTGTTGTCTCTTTTTCGGGTGGAATTTATCGCTGTCAATCCATTTATCAAATTGTAGTTACATGACAAGACAATTGTACTTACCAAAAAAAAAGATAACAAATGACTATCAACCAGTGACGTACTGTGCCTTTGAAAGCATTTCCAAAAACGTTTTTCACGTTTCTTAATGATTAAAAACGTTTTTCACATTTCTTAATGATTAAAAACTGAAAATGTTTTGAGATACGCATTTGGCACCGCATTTCCTGGCAAATAAAATTGAAAACATTTTCTAATTATTCCCAAAAAATCAGCAGAAATGAAATCGATCTATAATTGTTTTCTTTTTCCATTTTCATTTTCCCTCTTCTCAGTCATTCTGAAATAACTCCTCGCACTTTTGAGAAACAACTCTCTCTCTCTCTCTCTCTCTCTCTTGTTCCTCCTTGTACTTTCTCAGATCTCACTTGCTCTCTCTCCTTCTTCACGCATGTGAAGTGTGAACGTTAGTCTCCCCTGAAGGAGATCATGAGCTGGAGCCATGAAGGAGATCCCAAGCCGCTGCTTCCGGGGATCGCAAGTTGGGGATCGTCTTCTGCAAACGGCGTGATCCCACCCATCACTAGACTTTGTGAAAGTTTGCAGCGATTACCGGAGTTCTCTATGGCTGGGCTACAGAGGAGATTAAGATCAGCTCAGGACAATTGATGAGCGAGAGAGAGAGCTTGAGGCGTCGACGGGCGGCTTCTCGCCGTTGAATGTCGTCGGAGGACATTAATTGATGAAAAGACAATAATAATGTTTGAGTAGTCTTTTTTAATTGATGAAACGACAATAAAATGGTGTTTGAAATGGGACACACTGAGGAGGAGTTTAATATATTATTGTTTTAAAAACTATTACATGTTTTTAAAAATGAAACCACCAAACACAGTTTCAGTTTTTTTTAGATTGAAAACAATTTATGAATAAAACTACCAAACGCATTTTCAGAAATGATTCATGCCTAAAAATGAAAATGTTTTCATTTATATTTTTATACAGAAAACAAAATTATTTTAGAACGAGTTCTAAATGCGTCAACTGTCTTTTTACTGTTAGATTGATTTTTTGACTATAAGATATGTAGCAGGAGCAGTTCTATATATAGTGCTGTAAATTTTTAATATAGATTTCTACATATATAATTGTTAAAAAATTAATACAACGACTAAAAATAGAATCTCACAAATAATTCTTTTTAGAATGTACCGTAGAAGTTGCCAAATAAGTTTGGTAATTAGAAAATCACATTGCCATAATGTGAGGAACTTTCTGTGTGTATTGAGGGACTTTCAACTTTCTGTGTATTAAAAAAGTTGATTAGGTTTCACCTTTATTATAATCAGATGAAGGCACGCAGTAATCAGGAGTCCGTGATCCAACATGTAAAAGTCGATGATTGTTTTTTTGGAGGTACTCTTGAGAATTCCCATCACCCTTATGCTATGTTTGGTAGGAAGGAAAAAAAATAGGATAGAAAGAAAATATGAAAGTGATGGAAAATAGCAATAATGAAAAGAAAATTAATTTTCTTTTATGTTGTTTGGTATGAGAAGATGGAAAGAAAATGAGCTTACCTTCACTTGTTTGGTATTGGAAGTTAAATTGGGAGGAAAGAAAAAATCTTACTCGTAAATTACTTTTATACCCTTAAATTTTTTGCTTGGATGTTGATGAAGAAAATGGTAGTTTAATAACTTTGCTCACTTTAATGAGTTGTCTCCATTTTTCATCCCATTTTCTGCCCACTTGTGGAAAGAAAAAAAATGGTGGGGCTCACATGTATTATTTTCCACTCCATTTCCTCTTCCTTTCTCTTTTCTCTCCTACCAAACAACCTATATTTATATTTTTCCTCCTAAAATCCCTCCACCTTCTTCCTTCCTTCTACTTTTCTTTCCTACCAAACATACTCTTAAAGTCACAATCATCGTGCCATGTTCTTAATAAAAAAAAATACTTTAGAGTTTTCTAGACCTTAGAAATAAAAAGGTATATAAAATTAAAAAGACATAAATTTACCGGTCTGAAAGAGTTCTATTAATTAACATTTTTTTTCATAACCTCCATAAAAAATATAGGATAATGGTACCTCTATTATTATTATTATTATTATTATTATTATTATTTTTGTTTACTCTAAAGAGAGTAAATTAAAGGAAACCACAATGGTG